ACCCATATATATATATATATACACCCCACAGCCCTTGGCCCTCCTCCAGTTCTGAAGCCTTCTAGAGCGGAGGACAGTGACAGCCAAGCACAAACCTTTCGAGAAGAGATGCGGAGGCAGGTTCGATTTTGTATGGTGCCGTAGTGGCACCGTTCTTTGTTCTGTACATGCCTAGGGCCTAGGACTGATGCCTTCATTCGGTAATTCATGACTCTATGTGACCCGGGCGAGAGGTGTCGCACAAGGATTCAACCTTTTAAGATTTATCGGTGTAAGGATGTTGAGATTGATTGAACTTTAAAATTTGACTTCAACGTGCTGCAGACCTTTCGCAGAGAGGCCCGCATTTGATTCCAGGGCATGCTCTTCAACCTCATATTCTGCTCATAAGCTTCTGTTTGCACGGAATGCGCAGAAGCCCGGTCTACAGAGCATTTACCGCAGTTGGGTCTTGCTAAGTTCAGGTTTCAGCCCCTTTCCAAGGGCAGGGTTTCGAGTTCCCTTCGGCATACACCAAAGCCCTAACTGATTCTTCAGGCCGCTATACACTATGTTAGCTGCTGCGCCCATGCATTCATGAGTACTTCGGAATTCGTCAGCCGCAGGCCTGAGCTTCACATGAAGCCTGGAGCCGCCTGAGCTCGGCGAGCGAACTAAGACCGGAAAGTTGTCTACTCTTCTGAAAGGCGCGCGGGCCTCCGGAGCCTTGAAGACAGCCGTCGGGAAGAGGCCGTGGCTTCAGAAGATTGGCTTTTCGACATGCGGCTTTCTACGGATTCTGCGGCTTGAAACGGGCTTTATAGGCTTCTATATAAGAGGCCTTCAAGTCTCGGCTGGGTGTGCCTCCGAAAGGCGATTGAATTGTCCGATGGGCTCTGAGAGCATGGGCTGAAATTGGCATAGGCTCCACATGCTTTGGGGTCGACTGCTTGCTATGCCTAGGATGCACCAGGACAAAAAGTCTGAAAAGCCCTCAACAAACGGTGCAGGCAGGGCTTCAGAGTTTCAGGTTCCTGGGTCTCCACAGAACCCCAAACCTCGGATCCTGAAGCTCTTTTGAGCCTATGAGGTGGAGATGAAGCGTCACGCTGTGCTGGAGCGAGTCCGCAAGAACCCTCGTGAGCGGAAAGGCGCGCAAGGGAATGCTTCCAAAGCGGGCTCTTGAAGGGTCTTGGGCGTGTATATAGGGGTTTAGGGTCCTGTAAAACGGTGTCTTCAAGGACCGATTGAACACGACGGACGGGTTCCATTCGGGGTTTAAGGGTTGGCGTGCAGATTTCGGGTTTCTAGTTCTTGGTCACGGACTTTCTGTGTGTTCGCTGCATCAACTATCTCGTCTCGTTCCTTCCAGGGTCTCTTCAGCTGCAGCAGTGCGAAGACCCAGGTCCAGGAATCAACTCCTGAGGAATCCCAAGCATTGCTTCTTGAGATTGGCCATGGTCTTTTTGCAGTGCCAATTTACTAATATAGTAGGGACCTACCGGCTTTTGTAGACGGGCACCCTCTAATTATCTGAAGGAAGCGATACGTCAGATGGTCAAGCATCCGAAACAAAAAAGGCCAGCCTGTTGTAGAAGCCCTGCGCCTTTGAGGTTTAGGAGGTTTAGAGTCTTGAGGTTTAAAGGGGCGTGAGGCTTCAGGCTTGGGGGGAGCAGATCCCGGAAGGTTCAAGTGACAGTCGGTTCAGAAAAGGCGATCCACTGGAGCTGCTGCGCCCAGGGGCCTCTCTTCACGACCGGGTCGCGACGGGCTCGGTTCTTTCTCCGGCCTCCCTGATTCACAAGCCGACTCCTTTCAGAAAGGAGTACATTCAAAACTCTAGACAATTTTGGGCCTTCGTCATGTATTTAGGCTGTAACTTTTTTTGGTTCCAGCTAAGTTTAAACGTCAGCGGCTTGAGCTTTACGAAACTTGCAGGCAGTAAACTACTGTCTTGCTGATCCAACGTTTTTGATAAGGATCTCGTTGATAAATTAGCTGACCCCCTAACGGACCAGGTGGTGGCAATGTCGACAGGCCTCGAACCCCAGGACCAGCGGAGATCGGCAGTCCTGTGCATGGAGTTGGTGTAGTGGAGGCTTGATTGGAATGAGGTTCTCGGATTACAGCAAAGGTGCAGGAACTGCACGAGGTTTGTTTGATTCGTGACTTAGCGGGTGTTGAGCCGGGATGTGACATACACGGGTAAAGTGCCGAGTTTGTTTCTAGATGAAGGAGGGACGCAGTTGCGGACCCCTCGAATGAACTCCATGTGCTGCTCGGTCGTTAGAATTCATGTCCAACAGAAAACCTGCAAACCCCCATCAGGACACCGCCTTCGACGTGAAGTCGGTCCACGTGGTAGGTGGGCCCTGAGCACTGCAGCACGCAGCATGTTTCTGTCCCCGTGGCGGACCGCGAGCTGATGCTGTTGAGGCTTGCCAAGCCTCGAGTCCATCGGGGATGAGAACTTTGCGAGTATCCGATTCTCGACTGCAACGCATGGACCCACAGGAAGCTTCAGGTGCTGGAACATTCCAAGATGGCATCAAGGCTCGAAAACTCGGGGTTTCCAGCGAGTTCAGACTTGCATTCTTGCGTGATTCGCTTGGATTTTTCCCTGTCAATGAAAGCTACTTGTATGTGTTAGCCTTTACCAGTTTAAACTTAAACGATAGCATGCGCGCATGCATGCACGCGTCCATGTACATGTACAAGTATGCGTGTTTGCGGGTTGGGTTTTGACTTCTTGTATACTGCACTCTCTTGTCAGGTCTTGTGCCGTACTGGTTTGTGTTGCACAGTTTGCTTCGTGTGGTATGTTTTTATGTGTATGCATGCATTCGTGTATCCACGACTGCACACATTCACGTGTGCATGTATACATGTGTACATGCACGTATGCATGATGTATACAGGTATGTTTGCATGGATGGCTGGATGGCGGGCTGCCTGGATGGATGGATAGACGGATGGATGCATACAGTCATGCACATGCACACATGTGCACGTGCGCACAAAACAAATATACACATCCGCTCATGGAAGCTCGAACGGGCCATCGTAGCTGAGTCGAGGTTCCCTGGCAGTTCTCGGGAAGCTGCAGTAAACCACAAATTCCTGGACCCTATTTAATTTATGCCCCTCAAACCCTTATCCCTGAAGGTCTAGAGTCTAGACCGTTCAACCTCAACTTAAACCCCAAAATCTGAGCAGAGCCCGGAAGGAGTTTTGTGGAGAACCTGTATAGAGAACCTACGCAGACAGGCCCGGAACAAACGACGAAAGAAGAGCTGCGCAGAGGATCGGAGCGAGCTCGCTTGCCGAGTTGGCAGCGTCCGAATCAGGCTCGGAAGTCTCGGGCTCCTCAAAGCGGCGCCGAAGCTTGGCTTTGGGCCTTCGGGGTTCTGCCTTCAAAGGTCTTACCAAGGGCTCCAAGTACTATAGGTCTGTGGCAGTAGGGCCGGTTCGGGGGTAGGAGACCAGGCTTGGGGTTTCAGGACATAGCGCAGCATTCAGGGGCTTCTGGGGTGCTTTGTGTTCATGTCAAAATGCTTGCCCACACTTTATCCTAAAGACCGCTTCAACAAACAACCCACAGTGAAGCGTGGTCTCTTCTCCTTGGGGTGGCAACTTGAAGGCTACCAAAGTTTCTAAGATGCGGCTTAAGGCCCGCAGCATTGAGTTTGGGTTTACATGGTTCCACAGAGGCACTTAGGGTCTATGTTGTGGTTGCAGGGCTTAGGGTTTGGGACGTAGAAGTCCTCCCTCTGTCGCCTGAAGGACGAAGCCTTCTTCGTCGAGCTGAAGGATGGCTACCGCGTTTGCCGGGAGCCATAGCCGGACGTCCACGTGGCAATAAACCATTGTGGCTTTGGGCCTTTCTTCGGGTGTGTCGGTTTTCCGCTTCTTCGTCTTGCTTCAAGAGCGTGATCAGGCAGACTGAGGCGGAGTGGGAGGCAGCCATAGAGAGAATGAAGGCATACTGCAACTTGTGCAGACCTTGCACTGAGTGCAAGTCTAAGCCGAAGCTGGCAATGTCCAAACCAGATGATCAGCTTTCATCATGGTGTGCAGGGCTTATGATATGAGAGCCTGAATAATTATGTGGTAACTAACTGAGGTCCAAATATGGACTTCGAAAGGCCATATCCGTATCTTGGGAATGCCTTGACTCTTGGGAATGCCTTGACGAGGTGCCGTCGTCGATGGCCACGGGGCGGAGGGCCACCGTGCTGCAGCAGCAGCTGGGGTGCTCAGAGATTGTGTTGGAGCGTCCTCCGAAACAACCCTAAACGGCCCTAAGCGAAGTCCCATAAGGATCGCAACCCTGACAGGTCCGGGACTTCCTCCTGCGCCGACTAGTTGCTTCCCTACCAGCGACACGGTCGTCCAATGTCGACGAGCACAGGCCTTGCAGCTCCAGGCTGAAGGTACATGCAGCGAGGTGCACCCAGACTAGCAGTCCAAGCCCGGACAGTCCGAAATGCGCACCACACCCTTTGCTAGGTCTACACTGCTCTTTTGCGAGGGTCCCATTCACAGAAACATGTGGCCACCGCGCCAAAGCTTTATGTTAGAGTATAGGGTGGAAGAGCTTAATTAGAGTATAGGGTACTGTACCTGTTTTTCTCAACCCAGAACGAGCACCAAGCCTGCGCAGGATCCGGATCCATGGCATGCTTCTCAAGGCGATAGAGGACCGCGAGGGCTCTGCCAGTTGTGAAGGCTACCGAAAAGCCGTAGGCGAAAACTCTCCGAACCCTGGGCCTAGTTAGCTGCAGACAGCGCCGGGGCGGGTCTTCTTGATACGACTAGGGTTGCAGGAGACCGTTGCTGCACACCTGCACTTTTTGATTGGAGTGCGTGCCTTGTAAATCTCATGTCTCTTGCTTAAGCGGGGCATCTAAGAAGGACGCGAATCATGCGCTTTTCTCGGGTGAAGAGGCGGGATCGATCTTTCAACTCGGGAGCGCAGGGGAGTGGCACGGCTCTGCATGCCAGAGTTCGCACAGCATCAACAATGGCACAGTCCTTCAAGTTTCAGGCTGTAGATGCCAGAGCCAGCGGCGCGTGACTCGGCACAGCAAGGCCGAGCCGAGTTTGGGCAGGAGAGGTCTTCTAACAATGTATGACAGGTGGCACTCTTTCGCTCCCTTGATTCAGCCTCAAGTTCATTCCGGCCAAGGACAGCCTGCGTGGTGGTGTACGACATGAAGAAGAGGCGAGATGATTTGCTGCTTCGATTTCTTGCTGTCCAGAAGAGATTGGCTGGGGGCTGGAGAGCTGCTGGTGGCTGCACGAAGGCTCGAGAGCGAACACCCTGCGCCAGGTGGTTGTTCACCAGCTGGGTCGGCATGCTGGCTGCACACCGAAGTTCAGAAGTCCGGGGTGCCTTAGCAACGGGCCGGCCCCTACACTCACGATCCTACAAATTCGGGGTTCTGTCCGATCTCTTACGAACCTGAGAAACCAACAAAGTGCCCTCAATGTGAAGAACATTCCATCTCCAGAGGTTCATGGGGTTTCGATAAGTACCGCTGTAGATCCCCGAAGCGGCCCCCGAACGGCTACCAGGTGACTGCCGCTGCGTGGTCGGTGAATACGTGGAGGAAGGTGGAGCTTTGACAGAGGCGAGAAATCTGGAAAATGCCGGATCTAAAGATGTGATGCGCCAACGTAGACTGACATTTATAACAACAATAGTACACCACAGATAATCAAGTGGCCATATAGCCAGAGGCAGTGCACCAATAATGCAGGAATATAACCTGTTGGCGGACATGGGTCCTGCGTGTCAGTCGCGGGAAGGTGAAAGGCCTTCCTCCTTCCTGACAATATTGGGATTTGACACAAAATGAGTCGCAACGCTGGGCTTCTGCATGCTTAGCTTCGTCCATCCCTACGGGCCACAGCGAAAGACGCTGTCGGAATGGAGGATGTGAGTGATAGATCCCAATCCCTCAACCGCGTGAACAGCAGGGCGGTCGCCGAACCTCTATCGGATCGGAGGGCCCCTTGCTCAGCAGCCTCGTGCACTGAGGGTTCTTTACAGGGTCTACGAGGGCCCTGTGGGTTCCCTAAGGTTCTCGGCGGGCTGTACATGGCTCCCTTAAGAGCCCGAAACGGTTCTGTGAGGGTTGCAAGATCTTCCAAGGACGGCCGGGGCTTCACGTTCTGGGTTTGGAGGCTTCAGGGACTTCAGGATTGCAGCACTCTGAAATGATCTGAATGAGACCGGTTTTGTGCCAGCAGCTTTAAACGCACCATAGAAGTCGAAATAGCCGGGTTGTGTACGAACGGATGTAGCAAGCGACTTACGGACGGAATAAGATCACCATACACCCTGAACCCTAAACAAGCCCAAAGCCTACCCGATACCGTAAAGTACCCGAAGACTGCTAATTGAAGCCCGGGAGTGCATCGAGCCTCTACCGTCCAAACCAAAAACCTTCGGTCACATCAAAGCGACATGAGCAGACCTCTCAGGGTTTAGAGAGTTCCAGACAAGAATCACAGCTTAAGCTTGTGACAGCCTTTTTATCAAGATGAACGGCAGGATAATGCCGCACAAGAGTCCGTCAACTTCACGAGCCCCAACCCACAAGTCCTAAACCCTCAGACAACATGACATGAATCCGACTTCCCGAACTGACCTGAAGCAAGGAGATCCCGGCATTTTCTCTGCCAAGGCCACTCTAGCGAAGGCAACTCCAGCAAGAGGCGGCGGGGGCGGGGGTGCGGGCCCCAGGTTGTCATGGAAGGCCGACGGAGTGACACTTTGCGAAAGTCAGGCTGAACAAGACCACCGTCAGCGCAGTCAGGCACCTCAGCCGCAATGGAAGCCGAAAGCTGAATGCTCAACACTGGAGAGACCCGGAAGTTTGCCACAACAGTATTTAGGAGACTGCACGTTATGTTCAAGGACCAAAGGGCTCGCAGCATTGAGATGCTACAGCTGAAGCTGGGTGTCCTGTATCTGGAGATGCAGTCCTCTCGATCAGCGACCATTCTCCGTAGGACAATCATGCCCAAATGGGCACATCCAGACATGTTTGTCATCGCTTCTCTGGCGACTGTTTGCAAAAGACTGGTCCCTGTCAGCTTTGGTTTGGGTCTCGATGCCAAGACGGCCGCGATTTCTCTTATATACACCAAAGCAACGCTTACATGAAGCGGGGTTTCTAGTTCGACTTGCTCTCCACGGAAAGAAAATCGAGCTTTCATAAAAGGCCCTGCGTGGCCGGAACATGTGGGTTTCACCATAAAAACGAGAGGTCAACACAGGATCCTAAATGGGGTGCACCCCGAAGTGTCTGAAACGCCCATGTCAGCAAACCCTAGTACACACTGGAAGAAGCAAGGACCCGATTTCAAGGCTGTCTGAGGACCACACTCTCTCCGATGCCAACGAACGCGCGGTGAACTTAGAAGGGATTGCCTTTGGGGCCGGCCCGAAGTCTTGAGTTGAGGGTTCTTGCGTTTATGATTCAGAGATCTTTAGGGTGTAGGGCAGTGTAGGGCTGTTGGGCCAAGGCTTCAAAGTGTGGTTTTTTGCGATGTCGGTTTCGGATTGGGCTTATAGCTACGGGTACCAGTATTAGGCACGACTATTGGCAGTTGTTGAAAGTCCATGATGCACTCTTTCCGCGTAGACTTTCACTTCTGTAGTTGCTGAGGTGCGCATTGCGCAGTTCAGCGCCACTATCACCAACGGCCCGCTCGGTCTAGACGAGGTCACAGGGCGGGCAGAGGGTGTGCGTGTGTGTGTGTGTGTGTGTGTGTGTGTGTGTGGGTGGATTGTTCAGGCTGCCGACTCAAGTTTAATTCTTGGTTTCTTGGGACCGAAAGCAATCGAAAGCATCAAGGCCTTGTGCAGATCTTCGACAACTAAGGCACTAACAACACGCAGGAAGCTTCCTCCTTTGTTTTGAAATTCTGCAAGGTTTAAGTCACACGTTCCGAGCGGCGGGCCTTCAAGCCACCAGCAGTCACTAGCTGGCCTGTTGCCACCTTTTCCAAGACTTTCATGAACCAAGTGACTGCCCTGAACTCGAAATATCCCCGAACTGTAAATGTGGAAATACCTGCGCCTCTGCGCCACCACGAGGTCTACCTGTCCGGGCACAAGTTCCCGGGAGTCCACTGCAGCTGCGGCCTCACTGTATGTGATACAGGAGGCTACGTACATGGAATTAGGGAGTTCGGACTTGTGTTGAGGGCTTGCGTTCTAGGATGATACAGAGTTTGGGGTCTGGGATTACTTGGACTAGGGATCAGGGTCAGCGCCGTTGCATGCCGAGCTGATAACTAACTCCACTATGGAGCGAATGAAATGAGAGCCTGCATGTAGGCAAAAACGGCCTCAATTTATGACGGTAGATCCGTGAAACTGAATAATATGAATATAGTATAAAGACAGGTGTCCGGACACATCATCGTCACAGCTGACATTTCATCTCGGATTCGACCCTTTTCCTCAGCCGCGCACCTTCATTTTCAGGGCCTTGTTTAGCAATGTCCTCTATAAGTAGAGCGAGGTTTGAGAGTGCTTGTCCAACTCCGTAAGGCCGTTGCCTGGGCAATCTCGTTGCGCTGGAGGCTTAGAGTTGGCAGTTCTGGACCTGGGCTTTAGGACTTCCGAGTTTATGCAAGAAGCCATGGGTAACGGAGGCTTAGGGCTTCAGATTCTGACGGATGCACCTTGTTGTCGAGTCTGGCGTTGGTCATCCCAGTCAATGAAACCGCATAGCTTGGTGCATCGCGGATTGTCTTAACGTTTTGCCCCTCTCTCCATGCCCAGGAAACAGGTTGGAATCACGGCCCAGCCAGAGGCAGAGCGTGCCCGAAAGGGGATTTCAGAGACTGTTGAGCTTGCCGTAATCGGCCGTAGGCGGTAATCATTAGCCTATTCAGGATGTGCCCTTCATGCAGGGCCGTTGGTTTTTTTGTTTGGCCGGCGGGTTGCAAACCCCACCCGAAACCCAACACCCTGTTGACCAGAGTCGGTGCTCGAAAGCCGTCTACCTCAAAGCTTGAATGCATTATGAAAGCCTTGAGAACTTTTCCAACGGATTCCAACGAGTCTCGACTGAACCCTTGTCGGCCCGACCCTTCGTCGGGTTCGGGCTTGGAGTTTAGTTTCAGGGCCTAGTCCAGGAGCAGGCTCGACAAGACGAGGGCCTTTGATGGGATGCCCAGCCATGGGCAGCTGCGACTTGCATTCTGCGTGGCGCTGTGTTTGCCGCTTTGGGGTCGCCTTGGCCATGTCGGTACAGATGAAAACCACTGCACACTTGTGCATAGATAGCATTGTTCGTTCCTCTTTCAGCCTCATGGTTTGGTGTACAAGACTGCACAAAGAAAGTTGTGTTTGCCAACTTCGGATCCCTTCGGGAGAGAGAGCAGGTGTTTTGAAGGCTCGCTGCGACATGCTGCGACCACGATTCACACTTCCACATACATGCGAGCTGTTTGTGCATCGAGGGGGAGTAGGCCCCCTGTTGAGAAAGGGATCACTTGACCGATTCTCCTAACCAGGTCTGAATACTTTGGAACTAAGTTAATGTTCCGACAGTCGTATTCAACCATGTCGGTGCCCATTACTTTGAAGTCGGTTGGGTAACGCAAACCCTTTACGAAGGCGCGTAATGCTAGCGCCCTTACGGAGGCTGAGGTATTATTTAGGACTTAGGGGCTTTGCATTGAGCAGCACGCCCTCGCCTTTCGAGGCATCGCAGCTCCCAAGTTATAGAGAACTTCCCAATAAGTGCATGGCAGGGTTTCTACATCAGGAGTTTTTGTTTGTGTATCTACGCCCCATATACGTACTCCGGATCCTTCGGGATTCTGAGTTTCGGAAATGATCAGTCCCTCAAAATGGGGCCTTTGATTGAACCTTTGATAAGGAGCCCCGAATTTTCGCAAAATCCTTCTGAACCGCCCGTACCGCCCTTACAACATCTTGTTCCGATGAAGTCCTAATAAAGCCTTATAAGGCTTGAAAACTTATAAAGCAGCGACAAAGCAGCGACACATTGAACACCCCTGAAGCTTGTACCAAAATCATTCTCACACACGCACACAGAGAGAGAGATATATAACATCCTAAAAAGCCTTGAAAGAAGGCCCTTTAAAGCTGCGTTATATAAGACCCATACATACGAAAATGCCCCCGCCCCCTGCCCCCCCCCCAGTTGCCGCCGACTCCGACTCGCTATACATCTTGGGAAGCGGCGAGTCCAACGACTCCGAGAGGAGCCGCGCCGGGGGCCGAGGGCAGGGAATGTTGGAATACGTCGTTTTTGTTTCGAGCTTTTTTCTGGCAAACTTAAGGTTTTGCGGGGATAGTAGAGCCTGGCCGAAGCTGCGGAGGATTTCGACGGACGAAGACATCGAGAAGTTTCTGTCGATGCCTCTCGTCACGGACTCACATGATGAAACTTGGGCAACATGTGGGCCGCTGGCTGTTGGGGAAGCCGCGTTCTTGTGATTCATCCGACATTTCCAGACTTCTTGTTAGACTCCAGCCGTCCGTTCAGAAGCGGCGCAAGTTATGGTAATTGTGAAGCCAAGCCGAGGTTTCTGGCGCCAGAGTCCACCACTAGCATCGTGCTGACAGCTTCCTGCCCTCATTTTGGATCTGAGCGCCAATGGACTTGCTTTCTTCCAGCCGTCCCTACCGTCGGTTCATAGCAATCCAGGCTTCCAGTTCACTGCTTGCCCAGGTGTATCGTCCCTGGTCTATGTACCGCATCTGGGCGCCACTAGCTCTGTGTTGGTGCTGGCTGGTGTTGGGGGATGTGTATACCACGCACAGCCTTGAGAGGGCTCGCTTCGTCTCAGAAACGTTTCTCGACTAGGCATGTAATCACTATGTCAGGATCATAGCACGATACTGTGTATTCAGGGGTGCTGGTGGCAAAACCTCCTAGAAGACTTCGGTGTCAGGTTCAGGATTTGGGCTGCTTTCGGGGCGCAGCGGATGTCGAGTCTGGGTTGCTTTGGGCTTTTTGACTGATTATTGATGCAGCGGATCTGGGCTCGGAGCTCGAAGAAGCTCACCTCCACGCAGGCCCAACGATTGATTGGGCTTATTGCCTTATTGCTGATGTTTGGGGACTTCTGACGTCGGTCATCTTTATTCCAGTATACAGGCTTTTGGTGGGGGGGTCGTGTTCCTCAAACGCCACTATGCATGTTTGCTAGCGTCGCACAAACACACAGCTACGATGCAGGCATTCATGCTATCTGCTTTGGCTTGCACGTTGTGCCAGTCCCCACGCGACCAGCAACTAAGCCACACTGGATCACGTCAGTCGAGCGCAGGAGTCACACTCGGCTCGAAAACCCGAAATGGCGAGTGCTGTTGGGAAGAAAGACGCATAAGAAAAGGCGGCAGAGTCACTGGATGGGACAGGTCCGGAGACATCCACGGAGCTGCAACTGGTTTCCTCGGGCATGGCATGGCGCGTGAGGATTGTGAACAGGAGCCGCCGGCTTTGAAGATTAAGGAAGATGACGAAGAATTGCCTACATCTGCTGCAGTTGGCAGAAGCTATCTTGCGTGAAGCGTGTGAGTCCGGTTTATATGCACACAATCAGCAAGTACATGCAAGTACGCAAGAAAACACTACAGTGCACTGCATCATGCAAACCTGCAGCTTGCTTAAATCGCGACACCCGCTATGGCAACAACAAGCTCGGAAGGTATTTGTTCGGGGCAAGCACAGAACTCTCCAGAAGCCAGCAGGAGGTGCTCTGATCTTGCAGAGCTGCTTGCGATCGAGCAACACATCAAGAATCTGGTGCTAGCATGACATCTGGTCAAGTCCGGCAGGATTTGATAAACGAGACAGAAGTTGGAGCTGCGCTGCACCCCGCACCAGCTCAGCAATTATGTATGCCGACGAACAGCGGAACTCGGAGAGGCTGGACGACAGCAACGACAGGTGCATGTGCAAGAACTTCGCAGCCCATCAGCCAAGTTCCTGATGCCAGAAGGTGCCACATGTTCATCAGTTCCCCTGGGTGATTTTGCCAGATGGGGCTTTCGCATGAGCATGTTTGCATCATCTGGAGTTGTCGGGGCATGGTTGCATGCTTTTTTGGGGCCGAGAACAAGATCGCTCGCCTCGTGGTGGACGGGAAGGATCGCCCAATTAGGGGGCGGGTTTAAGAAGGGGTGTGTTCAAGACTGATACGTGATGAATCGGGGTTCCCGAATGAGAGGGCTGCATGTAAGGTATGTGGTGCATCGGGATCGCCAGGACGGTGGGGTGAGGGGCGAGTTTAAGAACTGTGATCAGCCGGGATCGCCAAGTGAGAGGGCGTGTTTATTAAATGTGATCAACCGGGATCGCCTATTGAGGAAGCGTGTTTAGACCGGTGACCAACCTGGATCGCCAAAGGTGTTTAAGACATGTGATGAATCGGGAGTGCCACAGAAGTGACAAAGGGTGGGGCGAGTTTAAGATATGTGATGAACCGGGTTCGCCTGTGGAGTGGCCGTGTCTAAGAAAGATACGTGATCAGTCGGGGTCGCCAAAGGATGGACGAGCTTGAAGATATACAAGCCAGAGGAGAAACGAGTTTAAGAAATGTGATCAACCGGGATCGCCAAAGGCAGGGCCGGGTTTCAGATCTATAATCGACCGGGATCGCCTCCTGGGGGGCCGGTTTTAAGACATGGCGTGCTTAACATACATAAGAGAAGGAAGCACTTAACAAAGATACACCCTGATATTTGGGACTCAGTCATGCTAACCCTGCCAGCAACGCACTACGTCTCCCTCCCGACAGTCCATATAGACCCTATGTAGGCGCAAACCCCATTCTAATCACTCTAGCGATAAACCCTAAGCCGCCTACGCCTGAGCGATGCAAAGGCACTCACCAGATGAAGGTGGCGCGTGCCCTCAACGCGCATCGGCGTGCTGAGGCTCCGGCAATCGCGGCTGCTTCGCTCATCCAAGCAGGGCTTGGAGCAAGTTCGTTCCGAAAGACTCCAAAATGCCTTAAGTTTTCGGTGGGTTCCTGATTTGATTCAAGTACATTCCTTAACTAGCCTTGTCGAGTTTCTGGCTTGTTTATTTGGAGGTCTATGCCATGCGTCAGTTTTCGGAGACCTTGATTCTAAATCACACGCGATGTGCGCCGCTGGCCTTTTGCACATGGCACTTTCAAACCCTGGGCATGGACGTGGGCCCTGAAGAATTGAATGCAAGGCTTTCAGACTTTCAAGATTCTCAAGAAGCACCCTAATTTAAATCCAGAAACCTAACGCCCTAAACACTGCACACACAGTCAAAGATCCTCTACCCAATTGCACTTGCACGCGATTATGCTAAACGTCATTAGTGTAAGCCTACCTTGGGTGGGCTTTCTCCTAGTGTGCACCGCGAAGCAATGCCTTACAGCTTTGTGAGGTTTATGTCTCCCAGAGCTGGGAGCCCTCCAACGACCTCTTGCGTGAATGGCTGCAACGTAGCGTGCCCCCGATTGTGGAGACACGGCAGTAACTCTAAACCCCATACCTAGTAGCTCTTTTACCTCAGGGTTCCCCTCTAGATCTGCAGGTGCAGTACGACAACTTCCAACCACCCCGAGTTTAATTCTCCATCAATAGCTTTGCGAATAAAACTTCCATGTTTGCTTATATTGAGGGGATGCCGTTCTAAACCCCTGCCTACTGTAGGAAGTGCAAGGTAGGCACTAGTGTGTATGTGTGGAAACCCCGTGCGTGTGCAAGACCGCGCAAAGGCGGTCGCAAGGATTTTAATGCTAAAGCATCAACGATTTAGTTTAGAACAACATCCAGCAATGGTACATGCCATGGCGCCCAAGCAGATTTACAGAGAGGGGTCCTCACAGGTACCACAGATCTGGACTGGCAAAGGATCCACACTCATGGTCCGTGTGCAGAGCGGACGCGTGAGTCGTGGCACCACGAACGCCCGCAATGCCCAAAGCTGCCAACAGGCTTTGCATTGCTTGCTCAGGAGTGAGGGTGCGAGAAAGGTTGTGTTTCCAAGTCCAATAAAGTTGGGGGAGTTGCCTTGCTTCATTCGGGTTCTGCTGCACGGGCTGTGACGACTTCCGGGATGCAGGGCATCCGCATGTGCAAACGGCTTGTCCGGAACCGTTGCCCTCTGCATCTTGCATGCTGAACTGCCAGATCCTATTTGTTTACGCTCTATATTAACGAGAATGAACGAATGTGTATATGTATATACACTCACCTACATATGTATGTGTATATATATATATATAGATGAATGTATGTTATTCAAAGTACATCAATATGTGCCTTTAACTTGTCATCTATATATATATATATATACATATACATATATATATATATATATCATGTTATATATTATGGATAAACATCTTATACGTTATAGAAAATCGACTATGTATTTTATATTGTATGATATATACACTGTGAGATTATTCGGATTCGATAGAGAATAGTTTGAAGTAGTTCAAGGAATCCGGTGAGAGTGAGAGGACGATGTATGATGAGGAGGAGCACGATTTGCCTGGTGCCGCCGGCGAGGAAGACTGTGTGCCCACGTGGCTTTGCGTAAGTTCTCATTTCCTGGAGTAAAACTTCGGGTATAGACCCCACAACTACATTCCATGATGATCCAGGCACTCAACAGTCAATCATGATGAACTGCTAGGGCTTCGATACTTCCATTACCGTGGCCATCTTTCAGGTGAATGGATGTGATTGGGGTCTCAGGGGTTTTCTCAACAGCTGTCTAGCCTGGCTTGCGCGTTCTGAGCTCCAGTCACTCGAATCCTTTCTTGCAGACTCTTGCATTGTCGAAGCGCGAAATCCCGGTCCCAGCGAAGGTGAATGAAAGCCGTCTAAAGTTGTCCATCCTTTCATATTCGAAAAGCCCAGGATGCAGACGGTCCACGACGGCATATCCTGGCCGTCCGGATGGAAATGCCCAAGCTCGACAGAGCTCTAGAGACTCTGGAGGTCACCCTCAACTTGTCAACCCAAGAGAGCGACCAAACGTCTTGAAGTGCACGCCCAACCGGAGAAACATGGAGAGGCATCCGTGACATGCTCGGCTCAGACTGGTTGTGCAGAGAGCCATTCGATGCCAGCAAATGGTGTGCCCGAGTGCAGGCATGCCGCCGAACCTGTCAGCAGTACCGACTTTCTGAGGCGTACAACAGGCCAGAAGGAAACCAGATGGATGGTACTGGATGGTTCACAGGCTACCAAGGCCCTGAACCACCAGTTCTTAGAGCCTCAGCGGCAGCTGTCCCAGAGATCGCCTCAAGGGCTTGAAGCTCTCACCGGCTTTCGTGTACGCGGCACCTGAGCCCTCTCTTCGGGCGAAAAGCAGGACCGGCACTGCGATGCTACGTTATGCTGCAAGCCAATAAACGACGGCCCGGCCTCAAAAGAAACACTCCCCAATAGCCAGCCCGACAAACCCTAAAGCCACCAAGAGCCCTAAACAAACCCTGGCCCTAACAGTCTCAAAGATTGAAAATGGAAGCCGTTCACACGCAATCTCTCGCATCCGATCCTGCTGCATGACGGATCCCAAGAATTCTATGGCTCGGCAGTTGTATACTGTAGGTGCTGGAATCCAGGCATTAACTTGGGGTGGAAGAAGCAAGCAGAGCGTGGCTTCCAAAGCGACAGACTCTTAGAGGGCTTCTTCGCTGCTTCTAAGCTCGAAAACGTGGGCCCTTCGGCCCCAAGCTGCGCAGTCCGATTAAGAAAATTTTGCCCCTCTGCGGGAACGGAGGTGAACGATCGCCCGGTGGAGCAGCCCGGGACCTGGTCTCGGCCACCGACACGAGAGTTCGAGAAACCGAGTTGGATTGCGGCAGCAGCAGAATCCGGAGACATCTAGGGTTTCGGCTTTCAGGATCACGGGCCCAAGAGGATAATACTTAAGACCGCATTACATAATCGATAGTATACATCAAGGGCTGATCCAGGAGGTTAGGCCGCCAGGCAACGCATGTATCTGCAGTTGGTATTGAGCCGCTTTGAGTCCTTGAGAGACTTGTTGCCCTGATCTTCTAGGGGTTTGCAACGCAACTTGCGCAATGCCCACAGGAACTACGGGGATAACAGCATCCGCGTCAAGTTCGTCATCGGCCAAGCTGCGACTGTAGGCAGTTGGGTTGGAGGGAGGATCGTTCGTCGGTCGTGGTCGGGAAGTTTGGAAACAAAGCAGTTCGGGATGTTTGGCCAGAAGGCCCCCCGCGCCTGCTCCAGAGTGATCGCCAGACCTCTGTCGCAGAGCCGTGCAGTTGAATTGAGTGTCTCGGATGATCCGCGAGCGCACAGGCATGGGACTTGTCAATGCCCAGGTAATCCTGGGCACCGATGGTTTGTGGATGTTCCTCAAAGACCAGGCTAGGGTTCAGTGCAGTATCCAGTCCACAGGTTGCAGATGAATCCGATGTGTCAGCCTCTATACAGTCTGAGTGACTTGCTACAGCCTTGGCCGTACTAAGCTCCATGATCCCCTGCCGCAACAGCCAGTGCTCCGGTTTTACAGCTCAATCAACGCCCGGCTCTCGATCGCAAGGTTGCCGTCGACCGCATCAAGCGGGCGGGCAAGTCCAACGTCGCGGCCTTAGCCATGTCCATCAAGTACCTGAACACCGGAACCCTAGGACGTCGATGCCATGTGGTATATAGGCGGCTTCGTGGTGTTCTTTAGTGAACTCAAGTGTCGGCCGGCAGAAGCGCCCGTACAAGTGCAACACATCTCCATTTGATGGCTGGCGGCAACGCGAAATAGACAAGCATTCCACTGTGTCGCTATCCGATAACTCGCACTACAGCGAAGCATGCGCTGCGTTCTGCACCAGCCGGGGTAACAGTCGTATGTCGTATAGCACCCCAGCCATCCTCGGACTCTCAACGGCCTGGGGGCGGCGCAGACTGCAGGTCCAATATGCTGCAACTGCCCTTGTCCACCAGTCGCGTGGCAACTGGGATGCGCTGCGCCCTCAAGCAACCTCTGACCCCTTTTGCTGTTGATACCGCTGTCAGTTCCGCTTTCCTCTCGTGACACATTCGGGCTGCTTGAGGCAGAGAGGCGATGGGCCCGGACTTGCGTTTGTAGTAGAGAGCTTAAGACCCCAAATCCAGAGGAGGCGCCTTGCGTCGTGCAGTGGTTCGGTGTTCTCCGATCATCTCCGATTTAGCTTTTGGGGGCTGTGGCCGGAGTACAACAGGGTCCGGCTGCCCGAGGTCAAGCACGCAGTGACCTCATCGGACTTTTGTAACAAGACCTTGGACCAAGCCTTGGACTCAAGCTACATCCGAGAGTTAGAGCGATAAGAAAGGCGAGCAGCCGGAAGAAACATAGCCTATGGGTGGCTGAGGATGCAAGAGCGCCTCTGCGATTTCGTTGACGACATCACGTGCGCCGAACCTTGAGCTTGCTGCGCAAGTTATTGAAAGGGGACCCGACAGAACAAGTGCAGCCTCACATAGTAAATTGTAATGTTTCGTGCGCTTGCTGGCAGGGATGTGACGGTATTTGTGTGCTTTGGTAGTTCATGCGCATTGGAGTCGGCTACAGACTCAGTCACTCCCAAGTAATTGCAAACGAGCAAGCTGGTACGCCGCCTTGCAATGAAGTGCGTGTGCCTCTCTTAATCCAGGTTGTCCTTGTCGGTTCATCCAGTCTTGTTTCATTCCTGCCAGGGCGGTGGTCTTTTGGCTCTGACCTGATGAGCTCCGGATCTAGCTCGTCCCCTCGCAGCAAGTTGACCTTCGTAAACCGATGCTTGTTGACATACTGCTCTAGATTGATGGATGCTGATGTGTCTTCTGCCTGATCTGCTGCCCTTCCTGTACATAGGCGGCACTCTGCGGAGCACATGCGAAGAAGGCCGACAAGTGTAGTATGACGGTTGTCAACAGTAGTCCCATCTATACAAGCATGGAGGTGTTCATCATCTCATTGACTGGTTTTAAAGCACTGCTTCCGGCCTACAGCAATGGGCAGAGTCTTAGAGTTTGGATCACCTTGTCTGCTGAATCGGCTTTCTTGGCACAGCGACGGCGAAACAGCAAGCAACCGAAAAGCTGCATGATGTTCTAAGAGGCACTAACTTACGCTTCAAAGGCCAATCCCAGTATCTCTCGGCTTCTGTGTCCGGTTGGAGCCACTTGGATTTTGTATTCAAATTTGGTATACTTTGCTTGAATACGAAGTAATTAATTCGGGTTCGTAACGTAGAGGGGGGTCATTTTCGTTAACACATCGCGGCAGCCCACCAATTCTCCACCTCGCCACCCCTGCGGCAGCCCGCTGATAATTGCAAACGGGATTGAATAGTTCGTGTGGCATCAACGAAACAGCCGTTCTACTAGTAGTAGTACAAGGCCATACCAGTCCTTGCACCTTCAACATAAAGTGTGACCAGCAGAACGATTTGGATTGCTTCCAATGCACAGTTGGATTGTGCTTCGATGGTCACAACATGGCCACGGCTTCGGATAGTCATCAGAAGGCACCAGTTTTCCTCGCATGTCACATTGTTCCAAAAGCAAGGTTTGGAGCTGCCAGTTGTTGTGCTTACATGGCGCTCATTCCGACCCAGTCACTGCCCAGCACACCGTCAGTAGCTGAGGAAAGAGGTTTAATTTAGTGGAAGCTTGTTACAGTCCGACCATCGTGGAAAGATTAACTGAACCTTATTCGGACCCGGGAACTCAGCAACTGGGCTCACCGATTCTGGATTGAATCCAAGCCAAACCACGCTGGACACCATCGGCAATTTCCAACCGCTATTCTATCACTGCTAAAGCCAGAACCCAGAAAAGCCAGCAACGCATGTGTTGGATCATTCGCGTCATTCGTACATAAGCAAGAGTGAACAGTTATGTGTAGGAAATGTAGTATAGCGAATGTCGGCGGGCACTAGCACGTGCCGGAGCAAATAGCATCACAGAATGCGTTGGCGGGGGGGGGAGGGGGCAACCATGTTAGCGGCCGGTGTAGATTGGGTGAGAGGAGGGCTTGCCTGGCACAAACTTGACGGGTACATACAGGTACTACTGAACTTCGTAGCATGGCAGACACCGCCCAAGCATTGGGTGTTGCTTCCCAGGCAGGAACTGATGAGGCGCAATGGCAACAGTTTTCATTGGCGAAGTGCATCAGTTTTAGACGTGGTGCATCAATGACTTTATACGGATGGCACAGTCTTTGCTAGCTACATGGATACACATGTGTTTTGTTTGCACATTTGCTCGCTTTAAGCTGGCATCGTCTTTGAATATTTGGCCATGGCAGCGGCAACGTTGCGCTCACCCCTGTTGCGTGAAGGCTTGTGATTGGGTGTCACATGCGAAATGCCAAAGCTACATCACGCTTTGCAGTGCATGTGCACCTTGCGACGCCTGACATGAAAGATTCATCAAAGCTGGCGACAAACAACAATCTAGAACCGGGCTACTCTGATATCCAGGTAGCCTCTAGTTTGAACATTCAACGGGCTGCAGCGTTCGTCCGCGAGTTTAAGGGCTATGCACTTGGCTGGAAGCCTGATGTCCACGTGCATCCAACATCCCTGTTCCCGTTGTCCCAGAACTTCTGATTCCTAACACTAATGTACGGGGCCTGCACAATTTGCAAGTTGCAAGATTCTCATTCTCTAGCTAGCTTTCCAATACATGTATAATATAGAAGCGCTCGAAGCCCTAGTTTGACTATTCAGGCATTTTCTTCACAGAGCATCAGAAGTCCCAAATGCGGGATGCTTAAAGCTAAACTGGTGAAAGAAGCGGCTTCTGGATGAGAAGCAACCTCAACTTCGAAACCGGAATTTTTCGGTAGTTTGTCTCATGAATCGCTGCAATCTTAGAAAGAAGTGTTTTGCTGATATGCTCGTAGATAAGTCAGGAAGCCTGAGGACCAATATTTGTAAATAGTATTCAGGCTCCTATGAACAAAACGGGTCGGAGGCGCCGGACCGCTTCTGGTGGCTCACCGCGCCGGTGCCGGCGAGGCTCCGGAGCCGCCCAGCTGGGGAGCTTGTGGCTTCGGGGTTTTGGTTTTGGGGTTTGGGGGATACTGGGGGGGTTTAGGGTTGGGGGTTTAGGGTTTAAGGCTTGTAGATTTGGGGCATGGGGCTTTGGTTCCTTGCGTTCTGACAGCCGCTTTCTGCTGCATCGAAACATGAACGCCCCATGCAGTGATGGAATGCGTTAAACGGAATCACTAGAAATACTATCCCCTGGAAGTCCCTTATGCTTGCATGCGTATTGTACCCAAATCCCGGTTCGAATTCTTCGAGTCCCTATGAGGGCAGCTTCCGGTGCTTCATGTCTTCCTGACTCCTCCAATTAGAATGGGGACTGGTTTACACTCTACCTGTAGGTCCTGAAATATTGCTGACGTATGATCGTGAACATCTGTCTCACACTTGCGTCTCGCTTCGATGATGCAGCTGTTGCCGGACGATTTTGTCGAATTTGGGCTCAGAGTTCAGGTTTTAAGGGTCCCGGTTTCAAAAATGCATGGCATAATAGGTAGCCTGGGTTACGGTATCGCAGAGGCTACCAGCGCGGGAACATCGGGAAGAATACTTTCGAGTCTCCCCGCAACGGATGATCTCAGGAACACCTTGGAGAGCTTGAAGTACTGCATGGACCTTCAAGTTCCCTTGGTTCAGAGCCTTGGCCATTCGAAGCTTTGCAGGGGGGCTGGGTCCTGTGGGCCGCCTTGTCGACAGTATGCTATCAGTGTGATGGGCTCGGGCAGATGCAGCACCGAGCCCACTCACACTTCAGGTGGTGTTTGTTATATTGGTCTCTCTCTCCCTCTCTCTCTCCCTCTCCCTCTCGCTCTCTCTCTCTCTCTCTCTCTCATGCTCCATGGCCGAAGAATCCTCCAATTCACGGGGCTGCAGACATGAATTGCCAGAACGGCCAGACACTCATGAGATCCCCACCGTTTAGGGTCCTGCCACTAGGATGGATGTGATGCGGACCAAAGATGGACAGCTCGTCCTCTTTCATGATGTGCCTGTGGAGAAGAACTTGGAGAAGTTGACTGGCGGGGTGCACAAAGCTCGGGTCTTCGGATAAAGCCTCAAGGCCTAAGGCTTGGGAAGTGCTGAAAGAAGTTTGCGGTGCCCCCTTGGGGCCGTGAGCCAGAAGTGAGCTGCACAAGAAGCGAGAGACGACTGCAAGTAGGTCCGTGCGACTAGAAGGATTTGCGCGAAGCAATATTGCGCAACATAGGGTGTCTGCATTCCCTCTGTTTCTGCCAGCTTCCTGGAGGCGTCGCTGGCGACGTTTCCAGCTACGACTACGACGACCTTCCGGACAGTGCAGAGTCGGTGATTCGCACGGGCTTCTTAAGAACTTTGAAGCCTAGACATTGCCGAAACCTTGAAGCTTTCAAATCCAGCACCCCAGCACCGCAATATGGGTGTCGTGTTCCTTAGAGCTGGGTTTGGGGATCTCGATGACCTATACTGTGTAGGGACGAACAGAACTTGCGGGGAAAGTCCCTGCCACAGGAGGTCTCGCACTGTGCCTCTGTCACCTTTCACCGCAAAAGCAGGATTTGGGTTTAGGGGTTTGAGGTTTGGAGCTACGGCCAAGGGCTTTGAGTTTTCGGGTGTAAAGGGCTTTGGATTTAGAAATTCAAGGCAAGGTAGGCCCAGGATTGACAAGTGTCTGTGGGTCTCAACAATGTGACATGATAGGAGTTTGAGGGCCTCACAGTTCAGGGTGCTCTCGGCCAGGACTTCAAGAGAGAGTTTGAGGCCTCCCCTATGTGCCCACCTGGCAGCAAGCCAGTGCCCGTGCAACAGAGGCCTGGCCTTTTGTAAATCTTAGCCTTAAATCCTAGGACCCAGAAACCCCTTAAATGCTGAACCCTGATCTGTACAACCTTGAAGTGCCTTGACAAAGAGCAGTAAACAGAAAAGACCGGAAAATCCTACAACCCGGCGACCCTGAGCCGTAAATCCTGAAGCTCGAGGCGCATGAGCCTCTTCAAAGATGCCTGTCGGGCCCTGGCTGCCAGCCGCACAGATCTCATTCTCGAGTTCTGGCAGGACGGGGCCCGAGAAGACAGTCTAATTAGTATTGTTATTACTCTTACTACTTGTACGATTATTATTATTATTATTAGGGCTTGTTCAGACATCCGAGTCGATGGTTCGGGTGGGGCTTACTGTTCAGCCCATGGAAGCGCAAAGCTTGTTGCAGGAGTCGGAAGTGGTCGTGCTGGTCATCGGCCAGATTTCAGCAGTTTATGTTCTGACTGGTATAGGACTTGTAAATCACCTTTGCATTTCAGTTACATAAATTATAAAGACTTGTGTTTTGTCAAGCCTCAGAACCATAGATGACCATCATGTCGCGGCCGACAAAGCCGCAGGATTGGATGGAACACAGGAGTATCTCCAGCGATCTAGTTGAAGATTTACGGCCCTTCTGCAAGTAAAGTTGGTATCTGACTGCGCAGCTTAGACATACTGTAATCCTTTGGCTCAAGGTATGAAAAGGTTCGTGCTTCCGACGTTCCTTTCGTTGAGG